CTCAGGGAGAACGTTCCTGAAGGAGAGCGGGGCGGGGAGCCAGCCTCAGGTCCACCCTGACACCGGACGGCCCCGCCGGGCACCAGGACAGAGGACGCCTGGGGCATGGCCCTGACTCGCCTCCCATCGCCATGGCAACCACCCCACCTGGGCCTGGTGCCCAGAGGGGAGCCCTTGGCCCTGGCCAGCCTCCCTCCCCACCCTTTCTAGACCCCTTCTTCGGGTCCAGGTGCCTGGACCCCCGAGTTCTGCCGCAACTCTCCAGCCAGCAGATGAGAATTCGGGCCGAGGCAGCTGTGCGGTCCCCACCTTGGTCCACTGTCCCCCGCCCGCCCGCCGCCGCCTGCCGGCTCCTCGTCCTCCCGCCCTGGCTGGCGGTAATTACGGTGTGATTGGAGCTGCTCTGCAGAGCGCTGCTGACACCTCTGTCTTTTCCTGTAAACACGGGGAGATGAAAATAGACACTTGGAGCCGCTGTGCGTGTCACTCGAGCGGCCTGTTGTCTCTCCCTCAGCAGCGCAGAGGTGCAGCTGTCACCGCCGTCCCCTTTCTGCACAGTGGTTTGTGTGCCGACTGTCAAAAGCCCAAATCCATAGTCTTTAAGCATCAGGTTTCTGTCACCGTTTTTTTTAAGTCATTTTTTTCCCCAGAAGAAATGCACAGAAATTGTTGGTCCCCCTCCCCACCCCTACAGAGAGAAGGAAGAGCTTTAAAATGCACACACACACAGACACACAGACACACACAGACACACGCACAGACACACAGAGACACACGCACACAGACACAGACATGGCTGTAAAACCCAAACACCGGCCTTTTGATGGGTCACAATTAACACCCAAGAGTGGGAGCAGGAGCTTTCATTGGGCTGGCCAGTTTCACGGCTGTGGTGCTGCCTGCGTGACCCTCCTACTCCTGCCTCGGAGGGTGACCGGGAGAGGCTGCTAGAGGACCAGGGTGCTGCCACTGCCACCAGCCTTCCCAAGGGTGCCCTTCGCATCCAGGGCCACTGACCTTGGTTTCCTAAGGGACATCTGTGATGGTCTGGTCGGTCGCTGGGGAGTGGTAGCTCTGGACAGCTGAGCTTCCCCTCGCTTGGGCTCTGGGAAGGGGCGCCAGGGATCTGTCCCTCCCTGCAGGACCATCAGCGTGCATGACCTGCCGGGACCACTGCTGATGGCAGGCAGCCCTCCGAGGAAGTTAGAACACCGGAGAGGTCGCCCCACCTGGGGCTCAGAGAGGGTGCTGAGGACAAAAGTCCCAGCAAGGCCACGCTGGGCTCTCTGTAGGACGTCCAGCTCCAGACCCAGCCCTGCAAACAGTGGGTCCATGCCCCACCAAGGAGAGCGGCACTGGGGTTGGCCCGGGTGCCCTGGAATTAAGAATGCAGGGGCTCTTGCCAGCAGCCTGCTGGGAGGGGCCGTTCCACATCTGCACCAGTGTGAGGTGGGCGGTGCAGGCTTCTGCAGAGTGGGTTCATGGGAAGGCTGTTTCTAACCCAGAAGCACTGGGTTCCTCCTTTGTGCCTGGGGAGGTCAGCAGCATGGCTGGGTGCACTGGTCACAGCGCCTTATGGGAAAGGGTTTATTCCTGGCAACAAAGTTTCTAAGGCAATTGAAATCTTGCCTATGAGCCTCTTCATCCTTTCAGCCATTTTGCAGGCAGATATTTCCAAATGTTCTGCCCTAGTCTGCCTTTTTTTCTTTTTATGTATTTTTCTGTGGTAATGGGGATTGAACTCAGGGTCTTCGTAATGAGCTACATCCCCAGCATTTTTTTTTTCCTTTTTATTCTGAGACAGGGTCTTACTAAGTTGTCCAGGCTGGGTTTGAACTTGTGATCTTCTTGCCTCAACCTCACAGAGTACTTGGATGACAGCCGTGCACCACCGTGGTCCAGCTGTGTCTATCTAAATGGACAGAGGGACCAGTGGGCCTCTCAATGGCTTGTGGCTGTCAGAATATGGAGCCGTCCTGGCCCCCAGCTGAGCGGCCCTGACTTCTGTGTTCTTGCGTCCCCTGCCTCAGGCCGTGGGCAGTAGCCTTTCCTGGCCCTCTGCTTGCCTTCCCACCCGTCTAACTTGCAGCTCTGAGCTCCAGCAGACATGGATGGGGTCACGAGGAGGCCCTCGGGTCCTTGCTGTAACCTTGGGGTGCTGGCGGCCCATCAGAGATCACAAGTGGGTTCAGGGGTTGGAGGTTGCCCGGGACCTGTGGTCCCCACAAGTGAAGGGGGCTGGGCCCCTTCACGAAGATGGTGATGCCGTCAGCAGCTGGTGTCGGTGGGACAGATGTCCCTGAAGCCTCAGAGCTGAGTGCGTTTTCCGTGCCCTGCTGGGCAAGGGGTTGCTGCCAAAGGCCCTAAGATAAGCTGCCCCACAAAGGAGACTGAGGTGCTAGTCCTGTCCCCCTGTAGTTGGCCAGGTGACCTTGGGCAAGTCATCGCTCTCCTGGGGCCTCTGTCTTCCTCCTCTGTAAAACTGGTGCACTGGGTCATTTGGCAACCCAAGGACCGCTCCACTCCCTCTTGCAGACGGGACCTGGCGGTCGCCTCAGTGGGCCTGGCTTCTGCCCAAGTGCACTTGCTCATCAAGTCTGTGGCTAGGTTGGGAGAACACGGCCCAGGGTTGAGCAGTAAGGGATTTGCATTTCTGCCATTTCCAGACTTAAAGATCAAAGCCTGGAGGCGTTCTTGGAGGGGGACGGCTAGTTAGTGACAGGAAGAGCTCTTCAGACAGCCTTCCCGTGTCCCCTTGAGGCTCAGGGCTCAGAGCATTCTCCCTTGTTTGCTTTGGCTTTATAGAACATTCTGTGGACGGCAGGAAAGCACAGAACATGACACACTGCCTTTGCTCTCTGTGCCCCTACGTCTCGTCTCGAGGCTCTGTTCATCCCCACAGCCGCGCAGAACCCCTGTCTCGCAAAACTGAAACTGCACCCTCGCACGCTCCCCGCGGCCCTCGCTCTGCCCCCTGACTGCTCCAGCGCCTCGCACATCTGCCCTTCGGTGGCTGGCGGTGCCCACGCCCTCTTCCTTTCCAGGCTGGGCACACTCCGTCGCGTGGCTGGGCCAGGATTGGCCCGTCTGTCCGCTGGCTGTGGGTTTCTGTTGCTTCCTCTTTTGGCCCCTGCGAATCATGCTGCTGTGAATGTGGGTGTGCGGATTTATTCAGGGGTTTTATTTTTGCTTTGAGAGCGACCGGCCTGGAAAGATAATGGTGGTAATTTCAGGACAGCTGAGAGCTCGCTTCCTGAACGCCGTCGTGCTATGCAGCGGGAAGAAGGAAGCTTCCAGGGGAGGATTTATGAGGGTTCGGCAGCGACTTCCCTGTCACTCCGGCGCCTGCCTGGTCCAAGCAAGATCACCCTGTAAATGGAAACCAGGGTGTGGTGACAAAGGCCGCAACAGCCCCTGTCCCAGACCTGGGTTGGGCCTCTGTGGGCGGGTGACCCACAGGGAAACAGGCAGCGCTGGCCAGGACCCCAGGCCTGCAGTCGGCTCCTAGCCCTCCCTCTTGCAAGCCCTTCTCATGGCCTCAGTTTCCCCATCTGTACAGTGGGGCCGACTGCGATGGTCACTCATGTTGCCTCCGGTCTGGGACTGCCGGTGCGCTGCTGGCTGAAGGTGGCTTGGTGTGCGTGTGTGTGTGTGTGTGTGTGTGTGCGTGCACACGCGTGCACAGCGCCCCCTCCCCGGCTCCCCCGTGGAAGGGAGGAAGGGATATTTGGGGCCCTGGGTTCTGCCATAGTTGGTTTAATTACAGGTTTTCAGCCGCAGGCCGGTGGGCAGGCATCAGGAAGGAGGGGGCGCCACTCGGAAACCCTGTCATTTTCCAGCGTCTGAGGGCCTCTTCAAAGGGGGGCATCTAGACATTTTCTCCACAAGCTGCAGAGTGGACTGTCGTGGCCCCAGCATGAGCGTAATGACAGCCGCATTTTGCAGCAAGCTGGGACTGAATGGGTCCGACTGGCTGTCTCCTGTCAGATGAGTTTTTTTTTTTTTTTTTTTTTTTTTTTTTTTTT